CTGCAAGCGGATGTGGACATGAGTTAAGCAGGAAGACGGGCATGAGCGCTCTCTGTTTTGATTATGGAAAAGAACCCGTTTAGGCACAATGGACGGCAGTGCAGCTGGACGCCAAAGTTTAACACTACGCAGCCTAACCTCCCAGGCTCCTGACCTTTTGAGGCCAATGCAAAGGCTTTATTAAGGAGTTTCAGACCATGGCCATTTTCTAGACAGCCATGCCATGCTGCATTCTCTCATTTTTCACTCAAAGGCAGCTACATCTCAAATTTCTCTAGTAAGAATGAAGAAATGACCCAGGGGCTGTGGGACTTTTGGTCAACCTTCCTGCTCAGTCATTCAGATAAGGACTGATTTCAGAAAGAGTTTTAGCTAAAAAGATCTGAAAACTACTAAATAACAAAACAAACCCGAGAGCAGAGACACTAGGTATTTTGTTGGTGTTGTTTTTTTTTTTAAGAACAGAAACTGTATAAGAAACAGTTTGTGCCCTCAGTCAGCTTATAATCAGGATTTTTTCTTCTGACTGATGTAACCAGTCAACAGGCTTTACCATTGCAATTTATACCACTTTCTTCCATCAGAGGAAAAACAAACTGTTTTAACAAACTCCATATTGTCCTCCATGTGAATGCCTTGTAAGCAATTCTAATAATTTGATTCTGACTTTAAAATCTGGGTTATTTTTAATTGTGAGATACTGAAGGCCTGGTTAGGAAAAGAAAATTAATTATAACCTTAATGTGAACTAGACATATTTTAAAAGATATTTTTTGTTGGGGGAAAAATCCCCTTAAAGTCAAATGTAATACAAATATTAATATCTCAGCCTATTTTGGATTCTGTGTATCACTACACCATTCAATTCTTATAGCAAGACAACTGTTAACTATAGTAATTTACCAAAGGATACCTTTCCCTTACATCCATGAAAGAAGCCTCAAGTCTTCACACTTCCCTCCTCTTCCCTTCTCGTCACTGGTTCCATGCAATAAAACAGCCAGTTGCCTTTGATGCTTACCCGTAGAAGGCTTCAAGAAACTCTCAGCAGTACAATAAGAGGATTTCTCAGAATATTTTGTTCAACTTTATTTGACAGCTCATATCTGTTGTTTAGCTAAGTTGCATTCAACTTTTTGTGATCCCATGGACTGTAGCCTGTCAGGCTCTTCTGTTCATGTAATTTCCCAGGCAAGGATACTGGAGTGAGTTGCCATTTCCTCCTCCAGGGGATCTTCCTGAACAAGTGATCAAATCCGTGTCTCCTGCATTTCCAGGCAGATTCTTTACCACTGAGCCACCAGGGAAGCCCAGACATCTACAGGGAAGCCCTATATCTGCTGCTGCTGCTAAGTCACTTCAGTCGTGTCCGACTCTGTGTGATCCCATAGACGGCAGCCCACCAGGCTCCCCCGTCCCTGGGATTCTCCAGGCAAGAGCCCTGGAGTGGGGTGCCATTGCCTTCTCCGGCCCTATATCTACAAGTACCTAAATCCAGACAGAAGAGAAGTCTGATCCTTTCACTGCAACCAATGAACACAACGATTCCCCCTCTTCTCCAAACTGTATTCTCTATCTCTCCCAGCTCTGTGAGTAGCAATACCATCCACCCAGTTATTCTGGTTAACTCTCATGACACCTTAATTTTCTTGTGCTTTACACCCCAAACCCAATCCATCTTGTGACTGCAACCTCTAAAACACACCCGCAAACTGACCTCTTCGGACCATTTTCACTGATACCACTCTTGGTCCAAGCCACCATCATTTCTCCATCGAACCATCTGAACAACCTCCCACCTCTAGTCCCTACACCGTAGCCAAAGTGTCTCTTAAGGACATAAGCCAGACCATGGCCCAAACCATTATATGGCTTCCCCTTCATTCAGCTGAAGTCTAAACTCCTTACCAGAGTCTGTAAGACTACATGATCAACGCTGTTGATGTTTCAACCCAGGCTGTACCATGGAACTCCTGGGGGAGCCTTTATTAAACACTAGTGTCCAGGCCCCACCCAGGCCAGTTAGATCACAATCTTCAGGGGAGGAGTTTCGGCACTGGAAAAGTTTTTTAGGCTCATCAGATAACTGCAGCGTGCGTTCGGGGTGGGAAACACTGGTCTCACTGGTCCCTGTCTCCTCTGCCGACCTTCCGCCTCATCACTACGCTAGATTCACACTCCTGCTTCCTCTCCATCCCTGGAAGGTGCCAATCTCCCGTCTGCCCTAACGCTCCCTTTTCCTTTGTTGTTTCCTCTGCTGAGGGTGATTTCCACCCAAATCTCCTCTTACATTCGTCTCTCAGCTCAAATGCCACCTCCTCACCAAGCTCCTCTCTGTCTGAGGCACGGGGCTCCACCTCTTGCCCTTTAGTCCCTGTCCTGTGATCCTCTCTTCTTCACGGCAAGTATCACTATCTGCTCTGATGTAGGTGTGGGTCATCTCCTCTACTCAAGTGTCAGCTTCAAGAAAGAAGGGACTTTGATCTTTCTCCTCACTTTATCTCCAACACAGGATAGGCCGTCACAAGCTATTTTTAAAGTGAGCAAATTTAAACACATCATTACATATTTAAGAGCCAACAAGACTAGAAACACAGACTGTCAACAGCAGATGTTTTACACGCACCTTATGTTTTCTGTCCTCAATATGGGTCACACGCTGAGCTGCAGACAACAGGAGGACAATCTCCACTGCGCAAGTGCTCTGGGGACGGAGGGTAGGTGCCCACCACTAACTCAGGACAAAGAGGTCCAGAGTCAGGAGTGGTGCTCCTGAGTGCCCACGCATGCTGTGGAAATGTGTGTTAATTCCAGGGTAACAACTGGAGAAGTTTCTCCAAATGATCATTTAGCTTGAGGTGCCGGGTTTCCTGGTATCCTGAGCTGGAGCTAACACACACTCCTGAATTATTTGCATGAGTAAGTGCTCCTGAGTGGGGTGAGGAAGGAAGATGCCTCTGTTTAGCCATTCATAAGGATCTCCCTAGCACAGCCACACCTGATGCAATGATCACCCTGGACATGACTGCTGAGGGGCCTTCACAGCAGGTCTGGAGAAGGTGCCACCAGGCTGGGTCCTGAGTATGCTGGGCTACAGGGAACAGGAGGAAAGTGTAGGGATCTGATCAGTCTTTCTCATTCTTGAACCAGCTGCTGAGCCCTGGCCTCGGGCTGGAAGCAGGGTACAGAGGTGAACACCAGACTCTCAACTCTGGGAGCTCCCAGGTGTATATGGCAAAAGCCATGGCCCTCTCTCCCAGCTGTCCACCACCACCCTGGGGAAAGTAACCACAGACACCACAATGCAAGTACAGGACAGAGCATCAGGAAGATGGAGGGAGGCATTTAAGTTAACATGCAGACTGCAGCTCAGGGCCATCTTCTGTTCACACTCAGGACGACAGATATTTTCCTTGGTCTTAGGAAGCCCAGTGCATATCACACAGGCTGATGATGAGCCCCACACACTCCTGCCTGCTACCCACAGGTTTTACACAAGCCCCACTAGTGATCAGGTGACACCTGGCTGTCTTTTGTCAGTGTTCCTGGTTCAGGGCCTCACAGGATGACGGTGGCCAACAGGAACAGATACTCTGGGTGCCCTGTCAATGCTGCCGCTTTATACCACATGCTCACCACCACTCACCCCACATGAGTGGCCTTATCCCTCAGTCTGCAGCATATTCTAAATGCAGACTGAGAACACATCTTCAATTCCTTCCCTTGGCCTCCAATGCCCTGCACAGTCAGCTCCCTACCAGGCACTGGAGCTTCCACAGTGAAGGCCAAGGAAGTCGGAGTCTTTGTAAAAGACCAAAGGTGTCAGTTAAGGGACCAGAGGTGCAAGACAAGCTCAGACAGGGAACAAGTATTCCAGAACAAACAACAGGTGCCTCATTTATAAATCAAAGCCACAGTGAAATATCACCTTAGGCCCAAGAGGATGGCTACTATCAACAACACAAAATAACAGGTGTTGGTGAGGAAGTGGAGAAACCTGGGTCCTTGTGCACTGCTGGTGGGAACAGTAAAATGGTGCAACTGCTTTGGAAAACAGCATGGCAGTTCCTCAGAAAGTAAAAATAGAACTCCCATGTGATCCAACAATTCCACTGCTGGGTACAAATCCAAAAGAACTGAAAGCAGGACCTCAAACAGATCCTTGCATATCACGTCCATAACAGCATTGCTCGTAATAGCCAAAAGACAGAAATAACCCAAGTGTCAATTGGCAGATGAATGGATAAACAAAGTGTGGTACATACATACCACTAAGTATTATTCAGCTTTAAAAAGGAAGGAAAACTTGACACCTGCTACAACATGGATGAACCTTAAGGACATTGAGCTGAGTGAGACAGGCAGTTCAAAAAGACAAATACCTTACGATTCCACTTGTATAAGATGTCTAAGGCGGTCAAGTTCACAGAGACAGAAAGTAAGATGGTGGTTACCAGGGGCTGGAGGGTGAGGGGTGGGAGCAGGCACTGTTTGACGGGTACAGTATCAGTTCTCTAAGGTAAAAACAAAAGCCCTGGAGCTCTGCTGCATGACAATGCGAATACAACCAACAACACGAACCAGTACACTTAAAAACGGTTAAGCCAATGTTCATAGAGGCATGGTTCACAGGACTCAAAGCATGGAATAACCCAAGTTATCTGTTGATAGATGAACAGATAAGCAAAATGTGACATAAACACACAATCTAATATGACTCAGCCTTAAAAGGGAACAGAATTTCGATACTGCTACAACACGGATGACCCTTGAAAGTACTAGGCTATGTGAAATAAGTCAGTCACAGAGGGACAAGTGTACGATTCCATTTATATGAGGTACCTGGAGCAGGCAAATTCACAGAGACAGAAAGTGGGGTTGGGCGGAAGGGGCCATACTGTTTAACGAACGGAGCTTCCGTCTGGGAGGATGAAGTTCTGGGAATGGGTAGTGGCGGTGGCTGCACCACTCTGAGTGCTCTCAGGGTCACTGAACTGCAC